GCCCCCCGCGGCGCCCCGCGCGCCGCTGTCCGACCTGGACGTGCAGCTGGCGCACGGCGGCGCGCGCCCCGCGGGGCCCCCGGCCGCCGGCCGCTACGGGCGCGTCATCTCCGACACGGTGGACTCGTGGGCGCGGCGGACGGTGCTCGTGCGCGACGGCGCCTTCAAGCCGCTGGTGTTCGGCGGCACGTACCCGATCGAGGTGCCGGCGTCGCCGGAGGAGCGGCCCGCGCCGCCGGTGGCGGAGGTGCGGGCCACCGTGGACCGCGCCGCGAACCGCCGCGAGCTGCGCCGCACCGTCGAGCGCAGCCTCGACCGCTTCGACGCCATCCTGGCGCGGCGCGGCGCGCCCACCTTCGCCGTGGACGCGCCCCCGCCGTCCGCCCGCGCCCGCGCCCCCGCCCCCGCCCCCGCCGACTTCTTCTTCGGCTGCCCGCTGGCACTAAGGGGCGTGTTCCGCTATGACGTCGTCGAGGAATCGTTGCCGAACCTTTAGTCGCCGATCGCTTTCAAGTATTGTTTCCTGTGATAACCGTGATATGATTTGTATTATTGTGTACTGTGCGACGAAAACCTAACGAAATCCACGACGAAGTGTCGCACCGCCGACCTGTACGATGCGCACGGCGAACGTTTGCCGATTCGCGGCGGAAATGCGGGGCCGGAGCCGTCGTTGCGGCGGCACCGAAACCGTCGCGTTCGTCGCCCGTCTCCCGGAATTCGTATTCTATTGTTTGTTTGTTACTCGTCTCGATGTTACTATTTACGAATATAATTATTAAATATTCAGAGACAAGCGTGGTTTCATTGACCCCACCGCGTCCTACCGCCAGACCGCAGGTAAATATCACACAGTGCATGTTTTATTGCGTACTCGCGTACTAAGCCGTCGCAACGCGCGCTACTCGCACCGCCATCGCTTGTCCCGCTTTATCCGTCGATGTTGTGCCCGGTCGGACGACCGTCGTTGCGCGACGTCGCCTCCGACGTAACATGGTTCGAGATGTACCGAGCGTTCTGTTGCATGTGACGTGCGCGCGACGCCGCGCGGAGCGGTCGTAACGAGTTGCGCATGCGCAGGGCGGCGCAGGCGCGGGCGCCGACGAGCCGCGGCCCACCATCACCATGCCCGGCGCGAGCGCCGGCCGCGCGCCGTTCGCCGACTACGCCGAGTACGACGACGACCGGCCGCCCAGCGCAGGCGTGAGTACTCGCTGGCGAGAGCCGTCCGACAGCTCAGCTGTGCTGCGGAAAAATTACGCTTTTTCTGAAAATGAGCTGTAAGAAGTGAGAGCTCGGTTGTGCACCATTTCATTAAGTAATACTGGTAAAATAGTTTTTTTACATTTTTCTTGTATATTGTATTAAGATTACGTTATATTGAAATAAATTTATCTTATTTGAAGAAAGTCCGTTAACGTAGTCGCCGGTGGATATTGTCAGACCTTGTCTGGCGCGTTCCTCGCAACGAACGACCGAACCGTCTCTGACCGCAGGCGGAACGCGAGGCGGAGCGGCCGCAGGGCTCGGCGCCCGCCCCCGGCCAGGACCGGCCCAAGGACGAGAGCAAAGGCAAGGGCGGCGGCTGGCTGGGCGGGCTGTTCACGAAGTTGTCGCTGCGGCCTCCCAACCAGATGATCCTGCCCGACGATAAGAACCCCTCCGTGAGTGCCCCCGCCCCGTCCCTCTCGTCCTGTTTCACTGACGTGCCCACGCTGCTTTAGGGCTGCGTGTTATTCTTTTGTAGCGCTCCACTTTTCCCCACAGAAGCCCTACAGAATCGTAATAGTCATAGGAAAAGAAATCTCACTATGTCCCCGTTACTTACTTCCTCCTCTGACTACTGCTACTCTGGATTCCGCGATTATAAATTGGGGCTATGAAATGGAAAATTCTGGTAACACCTTTAAATTAGAACTGTAACTTGTGATTTACTTTTGTGGACTCTATGGTCACTTAGTAATTTGTACGTACGTACACAGTACGACGATGTAGAGCACCGTAACGACAGGACCTTCGATTTGATACTGAGCAATTTTGGGGGAGTAAAGGTTTTAAAACGAGATAGTCCAGTTTGCAGGCTCGAATCACGCCACCCTGCCCTTGAAATTGCTGCAGAAATTTCACTCGCAAGCCAATATGGCTAGTAAACATTACTGCTTTGAATATAATTGAGTGGGTTGCATAATTATCGTGTTGCTACGATGTCAATGTCGCTGTTTCCAGGTTATACGAGTTACTGCATTCGGCTATTGAATTAACGATTCTTAAACCTAAGTTTTGCTCCCTCAAACATCCATTGTAGTTTACGAGACCACTCATCGCTTTAATATCTGAAAGAAATAATATGCGCGGAAAGTAAAATAAATACAGTGATCCTCGGAATCTTACTAAGTGGGTAAGATTCCGAGGACATTCTCATGACAATTGCATCCAAGATACGGAGGCGGCAATCAAAAAGAACCCCAAGAAGTTAAGGACATTTGTAATGCAGCGACGGCTTGTCCGTACGGATTGGCCTGCAGATATGTTTCTTGATGACTAAACAGCTCGTAACGGCAATGAGTTCTGTAACCTATTCGCTTTGCAATTTTTCTCTGTATTTCCTCTTCCGATGAGGGCAAACAGACCTCTTGGCATGATAGGTTTCCGCAATTCGTGCTTAATAGTGTTGCAGTCCGTGAACGTACGGTAGCGAAACTCTTAAAACCCGTTGATGCGAGTAAAGATGCTGGTCCCGACGGTATACCTCCATTCTTTCTCAAAATGACGTATGAGCAGTTGGCTTTGCCTATAATGATATTATTTAACAAATCAATTGATACTACCATATTCCCATCAAAATGGAAGATCGCTAACGTTGTACCTGTAAACAAGAAAGTGGATAAACGCAATATAAAATATCCATTTTGAGTGTAATACCTAAAATATTTGAGAAGACTATTTGTCCTATCATCATGAAACATCTCGAAAAGGTTTTATCGAATTTCCACACCTGGTTGGGAATCGTAAATCGACAGTCCAGTAACCTTTTCAATTATGCTACAGACCTTATCAATTGCGTTGACAGAAGTATTCAAAGTGGTTCCGTGTGTTTCATTTATTACTGTCGAAACTTCAATCCCATGGTGCTCATGGCAAACTACTTAATTGGTTGAGTTAGTATTTAAGTCGTCCTCTTTCGAACAATCAAGTCGAAAGTCAAATAATCATTTATTCCATAACTTACATTTTTACACTTGGAAACGTCATTTTTTAACCTATTGCTCGTTCACCACGCTGACCTTTCTGAGAAGAACGAGCAAGAAACTCTAGGACTTGCTCGTTTCAAATAAACTTAAACGCTATGGAATACACTTTGAATCATAATTGTGTGGAATCTAGACTCTTGTTATCTTTCCATACATTTATGTCTAATAAAAATACTCTTCAAATTTGTAATATGACTTTTGAATTCAAATACTTTTAATGTAAATTTTAAACTCAGGAAATGGTAATCTTAATATGTGCTCCAGAATCTTATTGTAGAAACGTATACTGTTCTCCACAAAAGAATCTTCGGAGGATCTAAATGGTACACAGAACGAATCGCTCGTTTTTGCAACACAAATAGGTTTGTATATCTGCCGCTTTACCCCACATGAGAATCCCGTAGGACATTATGCTATGGAAGTAACTAAAGTAAACTTGTTTAGCAGTAGTAACATCGGTAAGCTCACGTAAAAAATAAAAATCAAGGATGTGTGTCAGCAAACAATACTATTTCGCCAATGTCCTTAACGTACTTCAGGAATGCCCCAGAGCTCCCATCTTGGTGCAATTCTTTTCTCGACCTTCATAAATGATATTTCCGACTATATGAAAACTTGCAAGTGTCTCATGTTTGCGGACGATACATACGTGACTTTCTTCGTTTTCTGGATTAAAAAGACCTCAATTGTCCCTACCGTACTGAATATAATACTCGGCCAAACTATTTAAGAATGTGTTCTCTTGAAACGAGACGCCGAATTGTTGATATTGGAACTGCAGAACAGGATGGTGCATGGAGGTATATCGTCACCAGAGGCACTGGCCCTTATCAACGTAAACGTTGCTCGTAGAGTGCCTAGATTCCCCATCGCCAAAACATTTGTTTCGTCTATTATAGTAGTCGAACTAATCTCGGAAAGTACGCCCCCTTGAACAGACTCGTAAAGGCATACAACGACTTGACTGTGACCGGAGACAGTGACATAGATGTAGACATTTTTCGTATTAAAAACACTAAGCAGTTTATTCGCATGTGCAAGCAATTCTTTTGATTCTTACATCCCTTATCATTAATTATTGCAGTAATTTGATATTTTTAATTATGTTTTTTTTGTTTATTTCATTATTGTGCTGTATGCACATGTAGCGACTTGGCACCTTGTAAGGTGAATATATGTGTAATATAATCTAAGATTGTTTGTGTTAAGTTGATGGTGTATCTTTCAATAAATAAATAAGAGAACACAATCTGATGTATCTCTGGGTGGGAACTCATTGGGTACGTCACCTCATTGTTTTTCTTCCACACTAAGAGATACTAAGGTGATATACAGTCGCACAGCGCGGTCATGTCGAGTGTATTATGTTTATATATATATATATATATATATATATATATATATATTTATTTGTTTATGTCCCCAAGTAGCCGGGCCTCGAAGTTTGTTTGTCCGGAATGTTAACTTTACTAATGAAATATTATTCTGTTTCTTTTGTCGTCGTATTTTATTTATGTATAGTATACGTATTTCTATGAAATATATATTTATAATATTCACTATTATCATTTGTTGTGCTTTAAATTCTAATAAAATGTGTGTCGTTTTCTTTGCTTTTTATTGCACCCTGTCCATCGGTACAGTCGATGCGATATCGCTAGGCGTCTAACTATAGGCACATTACATTCGGCTCGTCGACTTTGTTGCGAGTCGACCGGTGTAGTGTGAAAGGAGATGCGTGTGCGCAGATCGTGTGGGACGAGGAGAAGAAGCGCTGGCGCAATGTGGACGGGTCGGAGGACGAGACGCCGCAGCCGCTGCCGCCCCCGCCCAAGCTGCAGCACCACGCACTCCCGCAGTACGTACAACTCGTCCCTTACGCCATTTGTCGTTTTCACTTCGTTCGAAATCGAAGCAAGCCGTGAACGTAAACGCCCTTCGCCCGCAGCGCCGCCGCTGCACCGCCGCAGGCGCCGCCGCCCGCCTCCAACATCTTCAAGATGCAGAAGGGCAGACGTGAGTACGGCGTCCAGTGCCGTCGCGTGCGTCGTCCCGCCGCGGCTCACGCGGGCCTCTGTTGCAGACATAAAGAAGTCGTACGTGGACGTGTTCAACCCGTCGGGCGCCGCGACGCGCGCGCTGCCGCCGGCCGCCGAGGTGCTGGGCCCCGCGGCCGTGGCGCACGCCGCGCCCGCCTTCTTCGTGCCTTCGCCCGCGCAGCCGCACCAGGTACGCCCCTCCGCCCGCGCGCGCCGAGTACACCTGCGCGTGTCCCCCCTTCCCCCGTCCCCCGTCCCCGTCCCCGGGCCGCCGTTCGAGGTGCGCTCTTCTCGTCCTCGTGATGTCGGGTCTTGATGAGTTTTGTAGTTCATTTAAAGGTACAGTCGAGCGCACTGTCTGAAGCGACGTAAAGTCGAATTTGACCCTGTACGAGGACCTAGTTATATCGTCGGGGATAGTGCAAATACGCATATGTAGCATTTATTACACGAGATCACATTTTACAGGAGAGGGTTTTAACGGTATTTTCATTTTGACACAGTAATGTGGGTGGTCTACCGCCTGGTAACGATAAATTTCCATAAATCATGTTAATTTTGTTGCCAAGATACGTGAATTTTATTTGGCCACTGACCGAAACGAAAACTCATATAACGTAAGTTCCGCGGTTGTTGAAATCAAAAGCATAGAGAGATACAAGTAAATGTTTTAATAATCAAACGAAAAAAATAATACGAGGCAGCAAAATGTTCTGTTTTTTTTTTATATATATTTTTGAACAATAAGCTAATGAGTTTCCACAAAACATTATTATTTTTAATGTAATTTAGATAGTGTAACATCCGTGACTGGAACGTTAAGTAGAAAAAATTGTATATTGTTTCAACAAATACATAAAAACTGTGGCGTAGTAGAGTAGTATTTTTAAGTGTAACACAGACTGAATCAACAAGCAATCATATTAAATAAATAATGCTTAGCATTCATGTAATAAAACAAATTATTCAATAAATATAAATTATTATTAATTACTGAAAGGGACAAATTTTTTGAAGTTATCTGAAAACGACCCTTGAAACTATACCGTAAGCCAGCCACACACATTGCATTTTTCCTTTTTCGGGATAGAAAATAAAGTTTATATTTCTCTGTGCGTAAAAAAATCTCTTTTTTTCTTTGAAACTACCAATTTTTCTATAAATCATACAAGAATAAAAGTTATAACAAATGTCATTATTTATCATATTATAAGTGTATCCCCATAAATAATTTTATTGATAATTTTATCACTAAAATTATTTCTACAATCTTAAGGGTTTTAGGTCGTTCGTCTTGCTGAGTTGAGCGCTGCCGAATCACTGGTTTGGGGTTGGTCGTCTTGCTGAGTGGAATGCTCAAAGGTCGTCTGAACACATGTCATCAATTGTGAAAAAACCTATTGATAAACGATGCGATGAAATTCCGGACAACTTTTGTTCTCGTGTCCCAGAAATAAAAAATACTTAAGTTTAGTTTTTGTATGGAGAAATATATACATAATTTTTCATCATCAATCGTCAATCCAGAAATTAGGAAAAAGTAACGTGTGTGGTTTGCTTACAGTATAGTTTAATTATTCTTTCACAAGAAAAAATAATCTATGTGCAGGTACTTGCAGATTTACGGTAAAAGAGCGGCAATTTCTTTTGTTTTTTTAACCCCCGACGCAAAAAGAGGGAGTTAAGCCTTTGTCTCTGAAATCGTGGCCAATTTAATCGAGATGGTTCTAGGATTGTAGCTATGTTTGATGACCACCTGTTCAGCTATTTAAAGAGCATCAACTCTTTTTAACCGACTTCAAAAAAGGAGGAAGTTCTCAATTCGACTGTAGGTTTTTTTGTATGTATGTTACGCGATGACTCCGGTATTTGTGAACCGATTTTCATGATTCTTTTTTTTTGTTGGAAAGAGGGTACATCCATAGCGGTCCCATTTCATTTTGAAGAAAATCATCCACCTCTAAGGGTGTCTGTTCACGCATGAGAAGATTCATTTTTATAAATAGCCCCTAAATTTGATTATAAGGAGCAATTATTTTAATGGTTGGTAATGCTATTCTCCATTTCAAGGCGTTTTTATCTCCTGTGTCAAGTCCCGTATAGTGGCGGACAAGGGGATTGATCCAGGTTTGCGCACTTCCGGTACCCGATTTTAATAAAACTTGGTAATTGTATGTAATTCCACGTACTTTTGAGGTCGGTTTTTTAGTACTCTGTACTGAGATTATCTAAGCTTGAATATTGGTATGCCATGAAAATCCTATGACATTACAATACTACGGTAACCTAGATCTGCTGCTGCAACTAGAATAGTCTGCAGTGTACCCAACTTCTCAGCTACTTGCAGCATAATTATCGTGTTTAGCTCATTGAATCAGTTACACGGCGCGGCAAAGGTTCCGAGCGCCCGCCGCGCGCCGCGAGGCGTCCGCCCCCTTCCCGCGCTTTGATGTACATTAATGGCGAATCTGAATTCTATTTACTAGACAACAACACCTAAATTCCTCGGAATAATACAACCGCGCAGTCGCCTAGACCGAGGACAAGCCAGACTCGCCCGCGCGCCCGTGACGCTCATTTAAGTTAAAACGTAAATGCTAAACAATAGAGCGTATTTGCCATGACAGTTAGATGCACGTTATCAAAAGTTTAACCTATAAGATTTCCTATATAAAACTCGCTTATTATATTCTACGTACATTTCTGTCTGCGGCCTACCCAACTCTTCAACTACTTAAATTTAAGTTTTATTTCTAATGCATATTTACAAAATACATAAGTTTATAATTCAGTAATTGAGTGTAATTTAGACAGCATTATTACCATAACGTGAAAATTAAGTAGAAACCATCGAGTATATAACCAGAAATAGAGATGAAATGTCATTTAATTTGTTTGAAAACTATTCTGCCATATCGTTACTGTGACAACTCCGCTCCGATTGGCCAGCCCGAGTTCGAAACAATTGCCGGGTGTCGTCAACTGTTTCACTTCAAATCGACCAGTTAACTTGAGCTTTGCTATAATGGACGAAAATTGCAAAATTACATATTTAATATTTAATTACCGATGAAATTTGACTCCGTTTGTTTTGTAATTAGATGTTTTGCTGTTTTCCCCACACCACCGAATAGAACAGCACGGCATTGTTAGAGATATTATCTTTATTACGGTAATACAGAATATTTTTTGGAATATACGGAGACGTACACACAGGTCAGTAGTTGGCCTGTCTATATTTCAGTGCAAACGAGAGTTGATATTTATAAGAGCTGTATCGCTAATATGTTGCCAGGAATATATGGCCCTTATTTCGTCTTTATTTCTGGTAAATGTACTCGATGGTAGAAACCAAGTGTTAAAAATACTTAAAAAAATACAGAAATTCGCATATAATGGTTTCAGCCCAGGATTTCGAACAGAAATCGCAAAAACCTGGTTAAAATCCGGGTGGGCAGATTGGGTTTCAATCCATTGCCAATCTGACGATAGATACACAAAATTGCCACTCGTCGGTAATGTATCAACGGTATTGTTATTAATCGATTTCTGGCTTTCTGTTGGTCAATCGCAAATGGCGTTAACAAGGCCCCAATGGTATAACTACGTGCACTGGCATGCAAAACTTATTGGCTACATTTGTCAGATAGGCAAAATTATCCAATGCTAGTTACGCGTGATCGCACTACCCCGACGATATTCCGATCACATCGACATTTGAGCTCAGAAACCGCGACTCCCATCGCAGAGGCGGCGCTATTATAAAAATAGAGCGGCCGACTCTCCACGCGTACGTCTCGGCGGGCCGAGCACTCGACAACTATTCCTTTTTTATTTTAGAAAAAAAACTAAATATAAAGAAAATAAATAAGTCGCAATGTTCAGATGAACAAAGAAATTCGTGAATATGACTATGCCGTCTCGATCGCCGAGAGGCGGCGGCGGCGCCGAGCCGCGGGGCCGTGCGCCGGCGCCGCCTCGCGCTGCGTCCCATCATGTTCTCTTCTTTAACTTAACATTGTTGTACACACGCACACACGCAGAACGGAGATAGTCTCATGAACGGTCACTAAATATAAGGTAAAATCCAACGTTCTTGAGTTCGCTTTTTTTGACCGTCGGCGTGTTTTTAAAGTAATATTTGACATTGCAGAGTGGAATTTACGAGCCGACTCTGCGCGAACACACCGAGGAAGACCACTACAACACCGGCATCTAAGCCGCTGTCGCTCGTCGCTGTCCCGCACCGGGCCGTCGAGGCCTCTGCCTTAAGCCCGTCAAGGAACGCGACGTACGCAGCGGCGCACCAGGCGTACGGCTCGAACGACGGCAACTCTCAAAGCTCCGTTTGTGATTTAGGACGACCGCGACGCACCCGATTGTGGCGCAACGCTTCCGGCAACCAGACGACAGCTACAGCTTTCGACAACTGTATGCCCAATTATGTGTGCTACATGTGGAGGGCCTCGCGTTCGATCCCGAACTTTTTGTAAATTGCTTCTGGGAGGGTTGTTCCGGGCGGTCCTCTTCGTTGCTCTGGTAGTCAGTCATGGTACAGGGAAGCTCCTAGTTGAGACCAGGTGTCTGGCGTTGCTGCCTCGCACTATTTACATTACAGTTAAATTTGTGTGATCAGTCGTCGTGTTCGCGAGCACCAGTTCGGCAGTGATAGGACGGTTAAACGTGAATTATATTTTATCGATATTGTTGTTTTATATTCATTACTTAATTATATATCATTATCCCTCTGGGAAATCGCGGCCTTTCGGCCCGTGTGACGTATCTAATAATCGTAATTTGTAACGGAAATAAAGTCAAATCCAATTTTTGTGATGACATTTTTGTTAGGATTGAAAACAATTTGTATTATTTTGTCAATGTTAATTATTATTATTATTATTTAATTTGGAATATTATTTTCTATAGCTTTAGGGTATCCAGCCAATTGAATAGATATATATTTGGGTTGTTAATATAAATTGTTTGAAGGTGCAATAAGGTGATCCTATTTGGCTCTGTCGCTGTAGACGTAGACAATAAACGATCATGTGCTCTATCTGCAATGGATTATATTTTTCTCCCGTACTCCGATCGTTCGTGTAATATAGTGGTTATGTACAGATCTGAATGAAGCACGCGGGGTCGGCGGCGGCGCCGTCTTTTCTGTATATCTGTCGTGGTGCCGCCGATCGCCGACTGCCGACCACCCGCCGTCTGCCGTCGTTGGCGACATGTTCCAATTGTATTATAGCAAAGGGAGTGGAAAATATTTAAATAAACTGTTTATGTTATCGCTTACATCTGAATTTCATTTTAAGCAACCGTGGAAAGTACGCCTATCTACCTCTTCGATTTAACACCTGGGATGATACTGGACCTCCTGACACAAGTATTCAATTACTTATTAAGATGGTCTCAACCTCTGTTTAGTTTGTTATGTCAATTTTACTTCATTAAAAACATTTTTATTTTTTTTTATTTTGATGATACTTCGCCAAGTCCCATTCTTACTATAGTCTTCTCGGCATAACAATTTTGTATACTCTAGTAGTCGCGGCGTAAATCGACAAAGTTTGATTACCAAATTATTGACGACTTGAACGGAGTAATAATCGAGTTCTTAGGTTTTCGCGATTGTTACACATAGGAAATGAAACTATTTTTCCGGATTTAAATTGCGTATATTTGTTTTTTTCAAACAAACCGACGTTTCGGGCCCTTTACAGGTCCCATGGTCACGGTTGACTACGGAGTAATAATGTTAATCTTTATTTTCATAAAAATATGGTCTCTGAAACGAGTCTCTGAGTACACGTTTGAAATTTAAATTAACTTAAAAAATATATAAATGAACCTGAAGCAAAAATTGTCGTACCTCTTTAAAATTACGTTATAAATCTATTATTGCGCATGAGCGTGTTACCGGTCGGATGTGCGTGTGCGTGTGCGTGTTCGTGTGCGAGTGCGTGCGTGTGTCTATGTGTATGTGTATTAAAAGCCGCGATCTAGCAGTGCCTCAATTTATGAATGATTTATTAACTTGTTTTTCCGCGAGTCATTTAGGTATTCTTTTTTAGATTTCCAATACCTTATTCAAAAACGTAAAGGACATTCCATTCAGCTTTTCCACAGCAGACGAACAAACTGAAAATAGGCTGCAAAATAGTGCTTCAGCGGAACTTTATACGGATAAAACATATCATGTATGTAAATGTTATTTGCATAATTAGCTGTTATTTTGTGAAATAGATTAGTGTCAACTGTAGTAGAATTTAAATTATCTCCTGCTACATCCTCTCACTGTGGCTAAGACCCTTTTAAACATCAAGTCGATTGGTCTCGTAAGCCTGATTGCCCAGCACGGCTAGCAAAACCTAGTAGGTAAAGGACAAGTTTTTGAAATTCAAATAAAGTAAGTACTCACCTTATTGCGGTGACAGTCGCTTGAAAATTCTACAATTTGTAATTATAAAAGATTTGAAAAACTAAAAAGCTAGTAAGGCACATGTAGCCTGGTTCGTGACCAGTCAAAAATCTTGTAAGTCACTATAACCAATTCATAGCATAGCAAATATTTGAGACTTGCTATTTTTTAAAGTAGTTACTTAGTGCCTTACTTGGGTATTTGAATTGACAATTAAGGGACTGCCTGAAATTGAAAATCGTAGTAGTTTTATAAATTTCAATATAAACTGCCTCCATGGCCGAACGGTTACCGTGCCTGACTGCCACGTAGAGGTCTCAGATACGATTCCCGGGCCGGGAAAAATATTTGTATGGCCTACATTTATTTCTCCTGTGAGTTTGTGATTGTCTATGTGTGTGTCCATGGCACCCGCGACACGGTTTCCCTAGTGCGGAGCTATGTTGAGTGTGTGCGTTATTATTATTAGTCAAACGAAATAAACTTTTATTTCAAATTTTATCATGAAATAACTAACCCAAATACCTAGCAAATGCTTATACTGTGTTTTTAATTCTGGCTGCTACAGTAACTTATGCATATGTACTTAAATATTCATGGTTAGTAGGTAAGGGCATAAAAGGGTAAAACATTTACCTGCAATTAAAACCCGCCCATAAACGGCCGTTATTATGTGGGGAAACCTTATTCGAGACATATATTTTGCACCTTGTAGAATTTTAAACGTGTAAACAGTTTTGTTAGAACAAATTTCTTTTATGTGAAAATGTTATTATTGCTTCATACCTAGACTATTTCCATCTTCTAAGCTTCATACTAACATCGAACTCGATGTTATTATTACATTTAACTTTTGAACATCTTTGAAAAACAAAACAATTTGATTTGACCTCAATTCTATTTAGTATCAGTCGAGATGAAGTTTTATTCGAAATGAAATGTCAATAGCAAACAATTTTGACAATTTCACACGTTACGGATATCTTAGATGGAAAAAAATAAAATAGTCTAAGCTTGATATCGAACGATATGATAGTTGGGGGCCGATTCTGGGGGTCTACTCTCGATCTCCGTCCAACATCCGTCCAAAACAATTACTAAAAAAAAAGAAGCAAAACAAACTATATGGCGACATCCCGTGTATTTTGTGACCCAGTGTTTTTGACGACGTGCATTAAAGAGACCTATCAATACTTGCGAGTCTTTATCATAGTACATTACGATATTAGTGCGTAAAGATGGCTATAACATGCGAGGCGGAGTTAATTTTTAAGAGTTAATTGAGCCGAGCATGTTATAACCAATACGCACGTATATCGTACGACGTTTTTTAACACATTTGCAAGGAAACAGAAAAAAAACATTTTATATTTTGTTCATTTTTAATTATTGAAACAGTTAGTGAAATTACAATTATTAAAATGATACGTAGTTGTAGTTGGTTTTTTAATTATGTTATTATTATTATTACTATTCATAATGTCATTGTTTTGTATTAGGGTAAATGTTGGAGACGACGAAACTTCTTGAAAGGCGGCAGAAGATCATTGTAATTCGTCATTAGTTGTAAATAAAAAAGTATCATCAGTAGAAGTAGAGGGGCGCGGCTCAGGGCAAACTTCTTCGTTTGTGGCTCCAAATTTATTGCCCGAGTTATTTTGGCACTTATATTTGCTTTGTTTTGGATGGAATCTTCTACATAAGATTCTGCTACTGCGTTAGAACGCCACCCGCCATGCCGCTTTAAAGTCAATATATCAGCTCCCGAATCAGCAAGTAACGTAGCTGACGTTCTTCTGAAACTGTGCCCTGTATAACAATCAGCATCCGGCAATCCTAAAAACTTGGCGACTTCCTTTGGCATGGTACCGAATTTATTTATGCCAATAGGTTGCGCAGTACATTTGCCTTTTTGGTAATTCTGAAAGAAATGATTACTTTTTGTCTTAGTCGTACGCAGAGCTTCATATTTTTTGACCACGTCATAAAATGGGCCGTCGATAATAAAAGAGTGTGGTGCGGTGCACGCTCGGATTCGGACGTGCTCCACTGCACAATAAGAATTATAATAATTCGCGAGCCGCGCGGCAATAGCCGCTGCACGTAATTGACTATGGGTTCTCAGCAACTCATAGCCAACGAACTGTTGGCGTTTATACAACACGCCATAGATACCATGGACGAAGTCAGCATCGTGCAGATCTGCAAGTCAAATTTCAAAGAAGAAGAGATTTGCAGTGGCAAGGCGCTGCTTTTCCGGACGTTTGGCAAAGCCGAGCAGATGCCGTCTCGTCGGAGAGATGGAGGAGTGAAGAGTCTCCAGGACATCATTACGTTGTTCAAGGAGACCGACCCAGACGACGTGCCTGCATTCGTGGCGAAGGAGCTGCATAAGCTGCCCCCTGTCACGTTCGACCACGTCGACGTCACCAGGCTGCTGAAGGACATCACGTCCCTAAAAGCAAGCCTTGCTGAAGTTCAGTGTAAGTTGGAGGTCTCAGACAACACCATCAGTGAGTTGCGTGCCCAAGTTGCATTACTTAGTAGTGCGGCTTCGGTAAGTAGGTCACCTGAGGCCTGCAACGTGAACACTTGTCGCGGGGCGCAAAATGCTTCTTTCAGCAGTTTTAAGTCGGCTGACATGCATGTGTCACCGACCCCTGGCGCTGTTGCCGCGCGCGTTTCCCCGCACCCCGCCCCGCCGGAGACGACCCCTTCACGTGATTACGCAGCTGTTGCCGCTGCCCGACCCAGTACTCCACAACCACAACCCAGGCAACCAATGAAGGGAAAACTGAAAAAGAAACTCGTATCTGGAGCTGCGTCGTCAGTACCACCGAGACGAGTTGATCAGTGCGACGAGGACGGCTTTCGGAAGGTGGAAAAGAAAAAGAAGAACATCAGCCGAAACCTTAGTGGCACCGCCCTGACTGGCCCGAATCATTTATTGCGTCCAGCGGTACCGACGACGTTGTTATACGTGTCGCGTCTTCATTACTCCACCAAGTCTGCGGATATTGTGGAGTACATGCGAGTGAAGGCCAATGCAAACTTGAGGGTCGAGCGGTTGGAGTCGCGCCACAACGTGAATTTTAATTCATTTGTGGTGCGAGTACCAACTCAACACCTGTCGACCTTCATGAAAGAAGACTTTTGGCCGAAGGGTGTCATATACCGGCGTTTCCGAGGACGGCTACCGGACACTCACGTTGCGTCACACGTCGAAGTACATACGTGTAAATAAATAGGGTTATATGTATATTATCATGTTATATTGTATTTATGATTAGTCCGTAAGGTATTTATTTAATATTTCTGTTATTGTTTTATTATATTATTGTTATATTATATGTATGTTAGTCTGTAAGGTATGTATCTATGGGTCCTAGTTGCCTGAAATAAATAAATAAATAAAAAATAAAAAAAAATAAAAAAAAAGGTATTTTGTTTTTAGTGTTTGGGATTTTAACTAAAAGCATTTTGCCTTGATTTTCAATGTCTTTTGTGGTAATATTGTGAAGCTCTTGCCGTCTACATGCACCATGAATACCAAATAGATATTAACGCAACCTGAAAAGAAATAAAAATGTGTTAGATGAGGTATAGGTACTTAGCTTACAGACAGTCGTTAAAAAAATATGTAAAAGAGTATGTACAATTGTACAGTAGGTAGACCAATACATAAAATAAGGAGGCAAACTGACCTTTGTTGCCAGGTACTGGCTATCTGGAGCATCTTTTCGACGTCATTTACTGACAGTACCTTAGATTTTTTCTTTATAAAACCATCAGAGCGTCTCTTTAAAAATGCAATTAGATTTGTATATAAATTAATATCGACACCATTTTTCATCTTGAGGGTACTTTTCAGCATAGAATATATTGTCCACAGCGAGCTAGGCTTATATTTACTAGCTAGTTCATTAAAATACGCCAAAACTACATTTTCGG